CCCCAAAACCCCAAAACCCCAAAACCCCAAAACCCCTTTTATTTTTCTCTCCATTGGGATTTTATTTGGATAAATTAAAAATTAGTGACTTCAAAATGTCAGAATATTATTATGATGAACTAATCAGGGTAAGCCAGCGCAACCTTTTTGGTCATCATATTGACTCTTTCTAATAGCCTTCGATGGCCAGCAGGTCTTCTGGGATTCAAGTTGAAGAAATTATTGAAGATATACCCAGTTCAAGAGAAACCTCTGATTTTATTGCAGACTCAATAAACGAAAATGTGTCAGCTAGGGGAGTAAATAGGCAGTTTCGGTACTTTAGGATGGGTAAGATAGCCTTTTTATTGCCAAAATTATTTATAAATTTGAAAACCCTGATAAATCTAGGCGAAGACAGGCAAAATCAATATAGGTTGCAACAAAAGCCAAGAAGCAGTTCTCCAGAAGAAGTAAACTTCTAATTAATCCATAGCCTTCAGAAGATCTGGTAGATACTCACCCTGAAGAGATCGAGGATGATGTTGATACTCCTGATGCAGGACTCTCATCTAACCAAGAGTGGAGCTTTTGCAAGAATCATGAGTATACTGAAGCCCCTCAAATAATTCGTCACTCAAGTTCCTCTGTAGAAGAGAAAGTGGAATTTATGGCTGGAACTCCTGAACGTAGGAGATATTACGAACGAAAAACCAGACTTGGCCTCGCAGATAGCAGTCTTGTTAAGGAATTAATAACCTCTGCTGATGAACCTCATTCTAGTACAAAATAAGAAGCCAGTTAAACGCCAAAAGCGCAAGAAGAGCAAAAAGTCTAAATTATTTGTAAAGAAGGAGAATCACAGCTGTGAGAATAAAAATAGGGCTCGCTCAGGTGGGAAACCGGACTATTATCCTTACCCAGGAAAATTCAAGACTAATATAGATACTGGAAAGAAGTCTTTCCCATCTCCCAAATCAGGTAGAAAGAGTAGGAAGTCCAAGACAGCAAAATTGAGGAAAACCAGGGCCAGCAAAACACCGAAGCAAGGGAAAACCTGTAAGAAAATTAGAAAGAAAAGCATAAAAAGAAGAAATCAGGAAATTACTCTGAAACAGAAATACAACACACGAGGGGATGTATCCATAAAAGCGTCTCCTGAAAAGAACAAACAGCTGTCTAAATCCCAAGAAAAGGACGATATGGGCAGACTTGGCTGCTCTGTGTCAGGTGCGTCCAAGGGTAAATTGCTGCTAGAAACCGACCTTAGCAGATATGTTCCTGAAAATACCCCAAAAGTGAAGAAAAGGTATAAGAGAAAGTGTAAGAAGCTGATCAAAACTACTACCACGACTCCTCGTATCGAAAATGAGATGATAGTGACACCCCACAAGTCAATGATTATATATGATTACAATGAATACGGAAGTGAAATTGTGAAGAAAGAGACCATCCACGAATATATAGAACGACCTTATTCTGTAGAAAACTACAGACCGAATAGAAGCACGTATAGAAACGTTGACAGAAATTGGGACATATCCAAATGAAGGGAGAGCATGGAACTTGATAAAATTGTTAGAGACGCATGGAAAAATATAGACAAAAATGGACATATTAAAGCTATGGAAAGCACACGTGCGACCAGAGTAGAACATGAGAATTAGTAACATAGAGATATTCAATTTTAGCACTCTTAAAAGGGGTTTTGGGGTTTTGGGGTTTTGGGGG